ACCCAATTGTCTCAAGGATTTTTATGAGCATTTAAATAGCTTCCCGTCATATTAAAAATCCTGATTTAATTTTATAGTCAAGTATTATCCTTTTTTGCTTTTAGTGCATATGCTTAAATTCAATAAATTAGAATATGTATTCTGATGAAGCTCGTTTGTGGGATTGGAAGCACCTTTTGAAAATGTCAACCTTTTGTGTAGGTAATAAACATGCTTTTCACTAAGCCCACATTTCTGAATTAAAGATATACTTTGACACGTTTGATGTAATATGTTTTCATTAGCTGGAGCCAGAACATCACCCTGAAGGCTTGGAAACATCATTCTGTGTGTAATTAATCTTTAAAATGTGTTTCAATTAGTGAAATGAGTTGCAAAAATAAATAAACTTTTTAAATAATATTCTAATTTATTGAACAACTTTGTTAAAGACAAGAATGAAAAACAATAAAACAAACAAAACAAGTCTTTATGAAGAACTCATTATTCACAGAAAACAAGTGCTGCACAAATATGGACAGAAAGTCCACTCAGAGAGGAAGAAGGCATTATTTCATTGAAACTCAAATAGTTTGCACAAACACTCACAAACCCAATCCATCTTTAATCGAGCTGTACGTGCATCTTAACAGAAATTAAGTCTGTTCCAACTAAGCATGGAGGTTTTCTTTCACCCTAGAGGAAAACAGGAAGTAGAAACAACCTCTTCAAGTAGCAGTGAAGTCTTACCTAAGCTCGTTATAAAACAAGCACAAAACTATCAATAATGTTAATGCTGTGACAGAATGCAGTAGATATTGTTCTGTGTCGAATAATTGTCACCCTCCAGCAATAAATGGATTTTTAATGTTTTTTTTTGCCTGTGTTAATCGTTCCTGTAGCTTACAGAAAGGCTACAGATTACCTTCCTCTGGCCTCGTTTGGTTTGGTTTAGGAGCAAGTTTGCAGTATTTAAGAGAGAGAGAGAGATGTCATTTTTCATCAGGCTAATCTTTTATCTAGAATAATTACAAAACCGTAGACTGAAGCTTGAATCTGTCAATATATTATATATATATATATATATATATATATATATATATATATATATATATATATATATATATATATATATATATATAACTCCCAGAAGGATAATGATTGAATTTAATGTTTGCTAACAACCCTGCAACTCCCTTGCAACTCTCTCCAACATCGACTTGTCACATGAAGACTTCTCAAAGGATTTTGTCTATATAAGGAGTTGCTGCTAATATAGCACATGTAGACTGAGTTCATTTGGAAGTACTTGAAGTAGTTACACAATTAAATAAAATGTGCAGCTATTTTAACATCTTGCTTAGATTTAAGTGTAAAAGGATCAGAGGGAAGTGCATTAAGAACCGTCAGACACGGCTGAGAGTATGTAGTTGCTGTGTTTGAAAGATGACAGCGCCACAGCTGGGACACTGTTCTTCCTGACCTGACAGACAGAAAATCAGGTTGGCTGTCAATGTGATTGCTGTCAATGCGATGTACCTCCATTATGTTGTGCTCTATGTGTGTCATGTTCTACCTCTCGCTTCTGCCAGCCGCCTGCAGCGGTGCTTACCGCACCTTCGCTGCACACACATGAGAACACTGCCATGCCGAAGCTAAAGTAATCTTCAGGAAATGGGAATTCCTGGAATGAAGTGTATCCTGACCTGCTAGAGCATCTGGACTGGTGCAAATGGAAATGTGGAAACTGCTTGCTTGTCTGTCACAAAGAATAGAACTAATAGATAAGAAAATATGCCCTGTTTGTCAGTAATTTGATGTGGTATGGCTTTAGAGAAATAGTTTAACTTCTGTAATGCGTGGATCATTTCTGTGGGAAACCCAATCATAAGAGACTTAAACTGTGAAAATTATAACTGTAGTTTCCTCTGAAGAGTTTAATCTGTAAGATTAATTTTGTAGCATGTGAATCTGAGATGAGTCTCTTAAATTGGCCCACAGATTGCAGAAGATAAATGGGTACAAAAACACATTTTCTTTGCAAAACATGCCATTCTTTTCAAAGTCTTTATTTGTCTTTTGAATAATCTGTGAAGTATTGTGCTTCTAACGCTTTAGAGTAATTATTTCTGCAATAAGTACCTTGTGCAGGCATCAGCAAATACCCTGAAATGTCCTCATAACAATACTTTATGTACCCAGATGGACAGATACCCCGGTATCAGTAGGTACAGTTATGTTTTTCTTAACTGCCTCATAAAAATGTTTTAAATATCAGGCTTTCTTGAATATTAACAAAACTAATTGCGTGCTTCCTATTAAAGTTTCATTATTATTCCAGCTTTAGATTCAACTTCAGCCGAATCAGCCAGGTCATAATTATTGTTCCTCTCATTCACAAACAACAAAGAGTTGCTTTTTAGTGATAAAGCATTGAGTTTTTATTTTTTTATTTATTTTTTTTTTATAATCCACTCCCAATTTCCTGTTGCTTTGTTAGCTCCAACCAGGCTCGGCTGGCTAAAGTCCTGCCTGCACACACCTGAATTACAAGCTGACAACGGCGCCTCGCACGCTAATGCTCTCACCTTCACCTCCGGTTGCGTTTTTTTTTTTTTTTAATGGAGAGAGCGAAAGGACTATGCTCAGTGCATGGATGAACGGCAGCAATGGCGGTGGGAGGACTAATGGAAAACCACATTGTGTGGTCACAAGAGAACGTTTTATGATGATAGTTTTATTATTTCTGTTTAATTGTCTTGCGGGATTGTTACAAAGGAGAAAAATGGGATGCGTGCTTGCTGTAGGGTTAAAATATTTTATTCCACATTACTGATTTTACTCAACAGTCCATGCTAATTTATTGGTAACAATTTCCTGACGATAACAAGTTGTGTTATAGGAGAAGAAACCAGCAACAGACAACGTTCTTGTAAAGATGAAAGTACGTGCGCATTACTAAAAATGAATTGCATTTCATTAGAGGTTCTTTCAGTGCAACTCTTACATTTTATAGGTCAGAAAGGTGAAGGTAACAGCCAAAGGCAATAAAAGACCTTTTCATGGTGATGATAAATGTCTTTATTTTATCATGAAACTTATGTTTTCTGAGAGTTTTCAGAGATCATGTCGGCTTTCACGTTCAAGGCAGGTGTGTGTTAAGACCTCACAAAGAGCAGGTAACGCATAAAAAAAAAAACACACACGTCTGGGTTTCTGTTTGTGTTTTTCTGTAGCACTGCTCTGCCTTCTTCTCCATTCATATTCATGAACGAGCTCCTGCTGAGAGACGACAGCGAGAGTGAAGTCAGTCACAAAGACAGCTGGAAGCTGTGAGGTCCAGTCCTCTGTGAGTGGCGGCCAATCAGCTCGGACGGACGTGCAGGTGAACATCCGACGTGGCAGGACGGATGAAGGCTGAGTCCGTGTGACTGCAGCGGGGCTTTGACAGAGGAATGGTGGATTTAAAGGTGCTCACACACCTTGGAGATAAAACTGTCTCCCACAGTTTGATACATCTCTCCTGCACCTACCTTTTCATGACTTTCCTCGAGCCGTAGTGACAAAACAGTGATGAAAAGTGCTATGATGAGTCTAAACTTCCTTGGTTATTCTGGACGCATCTTTTCGCATCAGCAGTAAATGCACTACTCCAGCATTATGGATGACAGACTTTATGCATGCAATTGTTCAGCAGATTATTTATTTAAGGGACCATGTGTCACAGTTGGTTGCTTCTTTCTACCATTATGATAATGAGATGCTGGACGCCTCGTGTAGACATCCTCTGTTTCCTGTACCTGGGTGGTCACCATGTCCCATTCTGCCTAAAACCACCGCTAATGGGAATTTCAATAGATCATGCTGCGTTTTAGGATTTGTCTACACTTTTTTTTTTCAGTTATTAAAGTTGCAGGAGCTTGACTTCAAGGCTGTAGATATTAGCCCGAAAGGCACAGGGAGGTGTATGACAACATAGTGATACATAAGGAAGAAGAAAATGGGCTTTTATAAACGCTAAAAGTTACATCCCACTAATATGTCAGGAAATATTAGCCTCATATGAAAGAAGAATGGTTAAACTGGACAGGAAAAATAAACCGCGACAACATAAAGAGAAACTTTGAACAAGAAGTGACAAACACACTCTACTTTTTGAGAACGTTTGGGTCCTTCAGTGTATTCAGCAATGTACTATTAGCTTGTTGTGGAGAGTACAATATAAAAAATATATTTGTGCTGCATAATGGGACTTGAGGATTCACAATTAAATTAAATGGTTATTTTGGTGTCTTTGGGGTTCTGGACAGAATTTGATCATCTGTTGTAAAAGATATACCAACTGGAATATTTGTCATTGAACGGAGATTCTTAAAAATAAAATTTGCAACTCATTGAAATGTTATTTGCCTTCAAAAGGGAGTGTTTTCTTAGACTTAGGACCACCTTACACGTCAGATCACACACTCGGGGTTCTCAGTGTACCAAATAAATACTATCAGATCACATCTAATTGAGTTACTTGAATTGCTTTGTTATCTGCCTGGATCAGGTGATATCATTCCAGTGTAGTTATTAATTACATTCATTTGATATGATTTCTGTAAGCATTTTTATTGAATACGCTAGGCTTTTTCAGTTGCATTGCTGGTAATTCAGTGATTTCTCGCTGAGAAAATCAGATTTATTTTCTAGGCATTTAGAAAGGTTTACCAGTACGTGCACACTTTGTTTTAACTTGGCCACACCGACGCTCCTGATAAAATCATCCTTCAGCGTGCCTGTCAGACCGCGTTCAGGCTCTGTTTATTTGAAGAAGATTAAATGGAATATTAGGGATTACACAGGAATTAATTACCGGCCTCTCTTACCGACACAGTCCTCCGACAGCACGCAGCGAGATGACAGCCTTGTTAACGGCCCCCCGGGACCGGCGCCGTGGAGTTGTGAATGGCGGAGGGGAGGGACGAAGGGGAAGGGAGGTGGAGCTGATGCAGCTCTCCTGCTGCTGGAGAGGCGCGCAGACAGGAGCGCGGTCTGATCTAGCAGCAGCAGCAGCAGCAGCAGCCTTTTCCCCCTAACTCAGTTCTCCTCATGTCTAAGTAGTTTTTGCAGAGGAGAAATCACCCCTGATCCAAACAGGACTGATTCAACTTCCCACCAGCTGTCCTTTGCTGAAACTGGGAAAAGAAACGGACGACAGGATGGATTCTTTCCAGCTGCTTTTTCTGCTGCTGCTGTACGGATGTCTTCCAAAAGTAAGTGTTTTTTTTTTATTTATTTATTTTAAAATAGCCTGATAATCCTGTTAAGGCATTTGGTTGATTTGATTGTTTCGCATTTCACTACTACCACTGTAATGTTTACCCAAAAGTGATTGATCTACTTAATAATATTCCTACTAAATGACATTAAAGTCATTTAATCACTTAGATTTACAGTGAAAGCCTTGAATTGTTGACATCATATCTAGTTTCTGCATTGTCCCTGCCACTTGTTGACAACCTAAAGACGTTTGGCTTTTTCTGAAACATTTTTTCACCCTTTTCCCAGAAGGTGACTCAGAACGTTTAATTTCTCGGTAGTCGTCGACGGATGCTCTCTGCCCAGTGAAGAAAGCGTTTGTAATTCAAATAGATGGTCTAAACCAAGGCCACGCTGGTATAAAGGAGACATTTTTCAACAGACTGGATTGTGAGTCAGAGCAACTGAATGGGACCTGAATTCAGCTGCTTTTACCTTCAGTCATTGTTTTCGCTCTCCAATAATGTGCAGCAATCAGTGCATTCAAAGTGGATGACGATGGAGAAAGACAAGGGATGTCTGGAAAAATATATTTCCTAATCCGTCCATCCATCCATTGATTGGATGACTGTTGGCTTTTTGTGGAACTGCGCAGGATGATTGCTTCACTATCCCATTTGTTTTTAGGTTCCTTTTTTTAACCATTAAAACCTCCCTTGCTAAGATGGGAAAATCAGTGGCTCCACATACTTTGGTCTTGTCTATTCACACTCAAACCTCACGTGAAATTTTGTGGTCTTATCAGAGGCATTTATGCTTGTGCTGATCTCTGTTCACTTGCACAGCTGTCCAGACACTGGTGTGATTTCAAAGAAGTGGGATGCTTTTTCTCCCCGTTCTCAAATACTTGTGAGAGGCAATCAAAGACAACTCTAGGACACGAATGATGGTTGTGGATTAAGTGTAGCTACTGCCCACGGAGAAGGGCTCCCTTGAGGCCCAAAATAATAAAGACTCTCTGCCTACTTGCCTTTGATTACTTCTGGGCCACCCTGACGCCTTGCATTAACCGGAATCATCACTTGTTGATCCGGCTTAGTGGCTCTTGCCGTGCGTCTTTCCCAAAGTCCTCTGTGGTGGCTTTAAAGTGATGCAGCCTGACATGTTACATCAATACATTCAGTGAGAAAATGTGGTGCTCAAGCCTGCACAGAAAGTCCCCTAAGTGGGTAAAAACTGCGCGCCAGTGGCTGAATGTCACTGTTATCGATTTAACACAAAGCATATGGGAGACGGAGGAAGAAGAGAACAGAGAGCGCGGCGGGCAATAATAACTCGTCCTTCCCACTGGATGTGAAAAACAAAATCACCTGACTGACACCGAGAGGAACCATCTGAATAAATAAAGTCCGTCTTCGTCTAAACTGTTTGCGTTCGAGTGCAGCTGGGCGATTTCCTGTTGTGGTTACAGAATGAGAAATGAGGTAAATTTTGAAGGAAAGCATTCGTTTGACACGCCTGCTGCTAGTTAACAGAGCAGGCCGTGACAAATGAGTTTCCGTCAGAGCAGCCATAAACAGAACACTTCAAATAACACAACAAAGCTTAATTAAAAGAAAGTTCTTCAGCGGGGACGGAGAGGGGTGCTTTTTTTTTATCAGTTTCATAAAAAAGGCTGCGAAGCAGCATTTTCAAATCAGCATAGAAAGCAAAATTTAAGCAGGCATCAATCAGGTCAGAGATAACATCAAGCTCTTTGAAAACAGATGGCTGCTAGAGACGAATGAGGCAGCCAGCGTGAACATCAATGTCGACTGAAACGCAGCAACCAACATGAATAATCATGTCCAGTTACGTTTTAGTGTGAGCAGCCCGTTTCCTGTTGCCTGAGCTTCCAACGGTTCAAGAAGCCATTTTACCATTCTCCCATCTTTCCATGATATAATTTGTACTGATGGCCTAAATTGTAATCTTTTCCCAAGCCCAACCAAGCAGAACATTCATTTTCACTGTTTCACGCCGCCTCCCTGCAGACAGACGCTCGCTGTCCTCTTACTTTCGGCTGACATGAACTGGATTACTTTTGCGGTGCGGCGCTTCAGTCGCCATGCAATCACCCTAATATCGTTGCATTGTTCGTTTTCAGTGCAGCTCCGAGCAATCGATGTTTAGTCACATTTTGACCAAGAAGTAAGAAAGCATTTTTTTTTCCTTTTCTCTTTCTATTGTCTCATTTTTCATTGCTGTATCAGACGAGGAGAGAAGCAAGCAAGAGAAAACTGTCTGAATTTGTGTCTGGTGTGAGACTCAACAAAACATTATCTCAGCCATGTCGCTCTAACAACACAGCTGGATGTTCGGTTAGCTGAACATCACTACACAGCTCACCTCCTCACGCTTTTTTTTTTTTTTTTGTCTAGCTACATGTTTCTTTAAACCCCCTCAGGGGCGAGCAAGCAGACCCTGCTAAGATGTGCCAGCTGAGTTTCTGCAGAGAAGCAATCAAGCAGGTCCACAATCATATGAAGAGCACCTGTTTTTGTTTCACCAGGCACATATCCTTTTGTTTCGTCATTAAATATTTAACTGCTTTTAAAATGAAGCGACTTATAACAAGTAAAAATGTATGACTTTGGCTGCCCTGTTGTCATAACAATAAACCATGTTGTGTTTGGCAATTTGTTCCCTGTTATATCTAACATGTTTAGTCACTTGAGCAAACATGAATTTGGCACAAACTGAAAAGATGTATCTATGAACATCTGCTATAGTAATCTGCTAAATTTTAATATATAAAAAAAGGTTTTGGAAAGGTTTTCTGTGATGCATCAAGAATGCAGTTTACCCCCCGTTACATAAGATAGAGAGTTGAAGTTTGTTTGTGTTGCATTTTACCAATGATGTTTCTGTAATTAAAATGATCTCATTAAAGAGATGAGACAAGAAAGGCAAGATCTCCGAGCCAATAAATACACCTCCACCTGTGCAAGGAGATGGGAATGCACTGACCTTGCTATGACATAGATCTCCCGAAAGGAAAGGAACGCACACACCTCCAAATTGTGCAAATAGGCTGTTCTCAAATTTTTTTTGTTCTGGAGCCTCAAAACAGGAGCTCCATATTGTTTCAAGACGGGGTAAAGGAGAAGGGCAGAGTGTGAGAAAGGTAAAACGTGATTGATATGGTTTACAACAAAATTTCAAACTAGTTGCAGCACAAGCAGGTTCGGGTTTTGGAGCCTGGGTGTGACAGACTCTTGGGGATATCTTTTGGATTTTGAGTTTAGTGATGACAACACTGTATAAAGTATATGCACACAGAATGCTGTGGCAGATGGAGCTGTGCTGCTCCCTCATGCTGTGAATGAGCTCAAGAAAAGACTGATGTTTATTCTCATCTTTACTGCAAGGCCGAAACCTTGCTAAGGAGGTTCGCAGCGTACAGAGTGTTGTCATTAGATGGCCATGAAAGCAGCAGAAAAGAAAGACCTAGACGTGACATAGTTTCATGTTTGCACTGAATAGGTTTCCTGACTTTGACGTGATCCATCAATGCTCAAATAGCCTCTGAGGTTCTGGAGTCTTGGGCAGCGTTAATCTGGTTTGAAGGAGGACTAATGCCTGCTGTTCTGACATTTTCACAGTAATATAAATGTCTTTGAAATCTAAAATAAAATAGGAGGCAGCTCATGAAGCCATTTCTGGTCCTGTGTAAACCTGAATCTGTGTGTCCTTATCATAAACCTCTATTTTTTATCCGATAGTAATTGTTTCCAAGTAAATAGCATTTCTAGGAACGGACGGTCTTTCCCACATTTAAATGACACACTATGGGTAAGATATCCTGACTTATTGTAACTTGCAGTCTGAACAAATATCTTATTGCGAAAGTCGATGAATGTTGCAGTACACTGATTGTCTTGGGAAAAAAAAAAAACATCTGCTGAAAAGCTGGTTGTGCAGGAGAAAAAAAAAGGGTAAAAGGGCAAAACGCTGTGCTGCTGGTTTGACAGAAAAAAAGGTAAGATGTAAAAGAATGTAAATGTTTCTGGCCACATGCGCAGCTTGTGCAGCAGACACAAAGGAAGAAGAGATGGATGTGAAACAGTCCACGACCACCATCATGTTTAGGAGCTCAGACACAATCCTTCAGCCGGATATTGTTCTTTTAAAACCTTTGAGGATTGCCTCTTCTGGTCAGGTTCTTTCAGATTTTGAAATTAATGGAGAAGTGTAGCAGCACTGTTCATTTTTCCAAAGACAAACGGTTGTTGCTTATGCTGTTTTCACTACTACGTCTGACTAGAGGTGGTACATACGCTGCTTAAATGGCTGTCGGACTTCACGCCTGCTGTGTTTTGGAGGTGTGTGCTGGAATATTAATGACTGACTTACTGGGGACTTACATTGAAAGTCTTCCATTGACTTTCTGTTGCCCTTATTGAAACCTAAATAAACTGAATTTAAAACGATTATATGATTTTACTTTCTTTCAGGTTGTGTAAAAAAAAAAAAAGGTTGCTCTGGACTGGATTCATGTAATTGAGGAATTGAGGATTCTACTGTTTTTTTTTTTTTTTTTTTTTTTACAGATTTTTTTTTTCCCCAGTAATTTGTGGGATGTTATTTATTAGTTCACTAAACGTGTTTAAAAGTGATACACTTCTTTGAGTTTGGCTAGTAGAGTCATTCATGTCTAATGCTTTTTTTCTCTTTTTTTGCACATTTGTTAATAAATCCTAAAATGATTGAGCGAGGATTGCACATGGTGCAGACGTTGCTCCACATAGAGATGGAGGCTGGATGTAAAGGCATCACGCTGGATAGATGGGTCGCACAATGACACAAGCCTCTCCTTTCATTTTTCCCTCAACTCTTCTCGTCTTTTATTTGATCATTATCTCCCCATCGTACAAGGGAAAGCATGGCTGCCATTTTAAAGAACAACAGTCCCTAAAAATTGAGACGCATCAGCCTGGCAGGCCCTCATGATGAGCTCTGCTCAAACTATCAGAGCTGACAGGTATTTATGAGATGTTTTTCTTACTAAGCTGCAGTGTGTGTGTGTGTGTGTGCTTCCCCAGGGCTTTGCACAGGTCCACTTATCACCGACTGCAAGGTTTAGGACATGGAGATTGATTTATTGTTCAATTTTGCTGTCGGTGTGGAAGAAGAAGTGTTCAACTGGAGATGTTAGAAGTGTATTTTCAACCTCAGGTGATACAAAAAAATGAATCACTGCCCTTCCCGTTCTTCTGTTTCTTTGAGGACAGGGTTGAATCCATGCGGTGAACTTGGATGATTGTTTCAGCACCGGTCACCCTCTTTGTGGTTCTGGCTCTGTAAAAATAAACCAACTCCGAGCAATAAAAAACACTTGATCCCAGCAGCCTACAGGCTAAGGCAGCGCAGACGTCACTCCATTATGTCTGTTTGCTTGTCTGATGAGGGACTTTGTCTCTGAGTTTATTCTGTTTATGCAGCATTAATCATTTTTTGGGAATCTTCGGCTTGAAACTTGAGCCTGTTAGTTTGAAAAACACCGAACACTAAGCAGTGCCTTATTATTTCTGATGAAAGAAAGAGTAGGAGGAAAGTGGGGACTAAATGTCGGATTTTTCTTACTTTTGTGAACTTCAAGCTCGAACAATCTTCATTCAAGTTACAGAAACACTACAGTGGCTTTTATTTTGAGCTTTACAGTCAAAACCTGAGATCTTTTGTCCAGACTTTGTGGCAGTGGGCACATTTACCCATTAGTCTCTGCTCTGTAATATTTTGTAATTTTTTAAAAAATCCTGGTCATTTTACATTAAATAAGTAAGTTCAGTTTCTTCCTATTCTGATTTTTAGCAGGTGAGGAGCAACAGACGCCAGATCGCAATTTTTGGACAAAGTCTAAGTTGCTCCTTGAATGTGTTTATGTGTTATTAAAATGATTTGAAGCAAGGTTTCAATTAGGAACTTCAGGATCATAAGCAGAATGTAAACCATGACACTACCATGCACAACGTAAAACAAAATAGTTTAATGAGTTATAAGATTAGTTGTTTACATAATCTTACTTTTGTTTGATGGATTTTTTTAGGTGCTTTCTTTTGATTGACCCCCCCCCCACGGCAAGAATGAAAAAAAAAAGATGAGTCTCCACACTTTTGTAAATTTTGTAACAGATTTCATGACATATTAAGGTGCCCGTGTTCCTGCCGATCTTCTGTTTGTGTTTGGGTCCACTGTTGCCAAGTTGTTTTAGATTTCAAATACCCTTACTTGGTGCGAAATCTACTTTGAGACAAATATTCGCATGTGACGTCACTCGAAGCTTGAACAGGAAATGTGAAGCCAACTAAAAAATGTAGCTTCCACAGAGGAGTTTGGTTTGTCAGGCCACCTCAAAGAAAGCTTGCATCATAGAAATGGGAACAGAAGTTTCACCATGGGAAAAATGACTTGCATACCAGATGACTAGGTCCAGGTCTTGCCACTTGAAACATTTCCAGAGAGCTGTGTTGGATTTTTTCCTCAAACTGAGGTCTGCAGAAATTTAATGTGAAATCCATAAATATGTGTCTAAGAAGATTAAATCTGCTGTCACGGTGTCTAGAGGCTGGATCAAAACTCAACGGTTGACACAATGTGGCAATGTTCCTTAAGGTCTTTTCTTACCTGGTCACATTACCGGTGATGGGTAGAGCACAGCCCACTTATAGTGGAACAAAATTTTCGCAAAAGCATTAAATAGCAGAAAATGAATCGCTGAATGAAGAATCAGAAGTTTTCTCCTACGACAGAGGATATTTGAGGATAAATCCACATCAGTAACAAAATGATTGTGAATCATTTAGAGCTCAAAATGATGGTAAAGTCCTTCCAACCTTAATGGCTCTTCCCCAAAACTAACATGTCAACATTTCCAGAGGAAACAAGCTGAAAGTGTTGTAGTGCTGTAATGGCAGTAAGGATATTTCCATCGATTGTTTCAAGACATTTTGTCATTTTGTAGCAAAATTCTAATAAAAACCCGTTTTGTTACCGAAGGTTTTCTCTAAATTATTGCTCTTTTGAGTTTTATTATTTTTATCAGATGCCGTTCTCAATTCTGATCGGAAACAGGCAGCTTTGTTTTAAGGAAGATAATTTTACGCATAAATTCATATTTTTAGTGAAACTGTTGTTCCTGTGTGTATTGTTCCCACACAAAATGACTAAACGGCATGTAAACCCTTTAGTGCTGCCCCCTCTTCAGTTCATTTCAGCTCGTTAGCGACGCCTTTCATGCTGTGTTCGAACTCTGGCCTCACTACAGTGGAAACTGCTGCTGAGTCAGGCTGCACAAAGTGAAATGCAGCTTTAGTCGGATGCGTTTCCATGTATGACAGATGACTTTTGGACTTTTGAGAGCAGAGTCAGGACATTTCTCGCATATATTTGAATTATTGCTTAGTTCCCCACTGAGGACTTTGAAGCGTAACGTCTCTAACGATGTGCTAGCTACCACGTGGGACAGTTCTATGTTGTGCTGTAAATTCATTGTGATGATAGTGTCTTTCTCAGAGAGAAGCCTGTTGTGCAAATGAAGCAACTAAATAAGTGCACAGTTGGTACGTTGACCCAGAGTCTATTCCAGGTCAATCAATACTAAGGTCACCAAATGGTTCAACCGACAGGAGATTTCATTCTGCCTCGATTTATGTACATCCAGTTTGCAGATTAAAGTCTGATCTCCCGGCTGCTCTGCTGCTATTACTTTCAGGTATGTCGGATTTGATGCTGTAATCAGTTTTAGGGAAAGACTCCCATGAGCAAAACCTCATGGATGGTGTCAGCGTGACCTCATCCATGTCAGGGGGAGGTAAATAAAGCAATAAGTTAAACCCGGACAAGACAGGAGAGATATCTAATGTTGTGGCTTGTAAAATATTCAGACCTCTTGGACTTTAGCTATGTGTGTTTTGTTACAACCACGAACTTTAATTGTATTGTAGCAGGTTTGTTTTTCGCGATAACCAGATTGTTCAAAGGCAGATTTATTTGTTGAGTCTTAATGTGCGGAGTGCCAAACATTTCAATGTTTCATCGTCAAAATTTAACTGGTCTCGCTGTGTCTTAGTGCTTTATTTAAATCAAATTTACAAGCCACACTCAGGGTTATTACAGTCAGACCTAAAGACACTCAGACAGAGTCTGCCTGGCATCAAGAAGCAGGCTAGAAGTTTTTATGAATCCATCAAAAGAAATTCCAGAACAGATAAGAAACAAAGTCCTTGCCAGTACTATAGCGCTAACAAATGTTTTATTAAGTCATTTTTTAGGTTTCATGTGTCCAGTGAAGCACAATGAAAGCCATTATCCACAAACAGAGAAAACATGGCGAAACGTACTTGTACTCCAGTCTGCAATTGAACCCACAAATCTGAAGCTGCTTTTTAAAAGGAAATAAAGGGAGCATCATATAAAAAAGTAAAAGATTTATTGGTGAGAGGTCCTGTTAAACATAAATTACAGAAACATAAATAAAGGAACATATACATGGTATATGAATAGCCATGTTTAATAATAGAGCTCCGATGAGTGTTTGTCAGATTAAAAAATAGCCTCTGAAAACGATAGCCGTTCCTATATGCCATGTCCTTATTCTTCTTTCCTGACAGCGATGATTTGCAACAGCAGGGAGGCCTAAAGTGTCGATACCGACCAATTACTGGCCATGCAGGGTTCAGTGAATTCTTAATACATCAACTACTTTTTGCTCTAGCACTCCTTTAACTCTGACCTTTGCTGCTCTCACTGCTTAGGACCTCGGGCTGGAAGAGTTCATGAATATGCTCTGGTTCATACCGACTCCTCCATCCCTCTCTCTGCTCATCTCCTCTGACCTTCTCGGGCTTTTGCTGCTCGTCTTACACGTTTTCTTTGGCCCACCGGCTCTCTGCCAGTGGCTGTCAGCCCGCATTTTTCAGCCCTTGTTGACACAGATGAACAATCGCAGCAGATTACTCAGTGGCTCCCCCTCTCCACTTCCTAATCCATTTGCATGATAGCATCTATTTTCCTTTTCCAAGAAGAGGCTTTGTTTAGATTTCTGACATAGAGAACATTTCTGTGCATTTACTGCATTATCAGCAGGAGCTTGATTCTGACTGCAAAAAGGCATTATGGGAAGCTAAAATGTTGTTAAAATAAGATAAAGAAAAACTTGAACAGAACCTTTCTACTCCTCTTAATCACCAAAATAAAAACTTTTTGCAAGTAATTTCCGTGTCGCAGCGAAACGATGCATATTTTTCTTATTAGATCTTGTTTTCTTAATCTTTTTCAGGTGCTATCGGTGCAGATGTGTGACGTGATGAATGAGATCGAGCTGGAGAAAGAGAGCTGTGAAAATCGCAACTCTGGGAATGTCACTTCAGGTCATTCTTGAAAACTCTTTTTGTTTGTTGAGTGTGTAGAGGGGGCTATTAGGAGGAAAGAGTAAGCTGCAAGGGTGAACTCACTCCGAGGAAAGGCTGTGCACTCTGGTGTTTTGTAGATAAAACGGAAATAGAGCGTATTTTATACAGCTGACTAATTCAACACAGTAACATAGGCTCAGTCCTTCACCGTGCTTGGCTGAATATGAGGTGCTTTAACACAATGTAGTCCCGGCTTTTCAAAAACCGCACAGGACTTGAAAGTGTCACGCCGTTTGACCAAGACATTATCGCAGCTCCTGTCACACGGCGTGGCCAAAGATGACAAACTGCATGAATTGTGGCTGCAGCACAATCGAGTCAGACGGATCTGACATGTCGGCCCATCAATAAACGGACAGCATGCTATGGATGTCAATGTGTTTATTACGAGAGTAGGACAGTGAAGAGGAAGAGGCGAGGGAGAAAAAGAGACAGCGGTAGAACGTGCAGTAGCTGCACACAGATGGAAGGAGTCCCATGTCAGTCGATGCTGCTACAGTTGTACCTCGACGTTGTCCCAGGATTTATGAGACGCTGCTTGATATCGTCTCTGGTTGTGGGAGCTCTAACTCAGAGGTTGGCACTTTTATCGTGCTAAATGATCACAGAAAAGAGATACAAAGATTTTATCTAAGACATGCCTGTGGTTCTTTGCTTTACTTGCTTTATGTCAGACCCCACCAACCTGGTCAGTTTGTTGCTGAAAAGCTCAACCTTAGTGTCATCTGACCAAATATCATAGTTCTGGTTGAAGCTCCAGGAGAGCTGAAAAAAAAAAAAAAAAAAACTCAACTTGTTAGCTTTTCAGTGTAGGACAAAATTGTCTGTTTTTTTGTTGTTTTGTTTTTGTTTTCTTTTCACGCCTCCAAGTGAGCTTGTAGATATGATCAGATGGTTTTTAGAGACATTTCATAGCCTTGTCTTTGCTGCTGTCCTCTAAGAATCACATTTCTCCTGAATCTCTCCTCTCGCTTCAAATACACCCTCAAATAAAATGTGTTATTATTATTATTGTTATTAAAACACAATACATTAGATTAAAACAAAGGCCTTACATATCCAGACCCATTAATGTACAACCAATTGTAACATTTCAATCAGAGTAGGAGGTTAAATAACGTAAATAAAGAGAAAAGTCATAAAAGTAAAAAAAAAAATACATTGAATGCCAAAAAAAAAAAAAAAAAAAAAAGTCGTGATAAGTTACATCATCTGTAGGTGTAAGAAATCATCCCTCTGAATGGACGGGCCTCCTCAACACACTTATGCAAAATCATTTAACAACACAGCAATGCCTCTTAATGCATTATCTGAAAATTGAATTATTACTGCTTTATATTCTCACCCACTCAATCATTGTTTCCTGGGATTCCTGTCATTTTAAAGTGCACAAAATCACTTATACTTATTAGACGGTGTCAGTCTTTCCTCCAACTGCTTTCAGTTTAACATACATCCGTCCACGGACATACCGCACTTTGCTTTAAGTGGCCCCATATAAAGAGCCGGTGTGGGGACAGCTTTCCCTATCTCTGCACCGATCTCATTTTTCTGCTCTCCTATCTGCTTCCTCAACAGGAAGGTAGTGTAAGTTGAACTCTGAGGTCACATCCTGAATAAATGAATTAGCAGACTGTGCACTCGTGGGAGAACGTACATCCACAACATATGGCTGAGAAAGTTTCAGCCGCAGCGGATTCGCTCCAAAGACTCAAATGTTTTTGAGAAACTTTTTTGTTTTGAACTTTTCACAAACTAAATCAGCGCAGGGATAGTTTGCAGCTTGTGTTTTTGTCTTTTCACACCTTCCTGAGGCTTTGCAGGGTGCTAGGTGGCGGAATGAGGACGGCTGATGAGGTTGCGGCCTTGACGTGTAATACAGAAAAGGGATGGAAATAGATTTCTGCAAAAACTTAAGAAGGAAATCACTAAGTTATCCTAAACAACAACAACAACAACAACCTCAATTTCACTTCTCTGTGATTTAGTTTTTTATACCCGAATGTTTGAACGATAAATAATTTTAAGTAACTGCAGATTATTTTATGTGTTCAGAACAAGATTATTTTCCTTCTATCACAAGATTTATGAAATGTTTGGCATAACTTTGCATTCATTTGTAAAATACAAATAAGAAATTATTTCGCAAATTCCACACAGGTGACTTTAGTGAACCAGACTTTTTGCAGATCTGTGGCACTGAAGGATTTAGGACTCTGCTGTGCCATGACTTGGTTCTGTCATTGCCCTCTCTCGGTTTGTCTCCTGCCGTGTGGCGAGTGATGCAATGTTTGTGTTGTTGACCTTTTTTTTTGGCAGGTTGCCAGGGGATGTGGGACATCGTCGCCTGTTGGCCTTCAGCCAGAGTTGGAGAAGTGGTGACGATAACCTGTCCGACATATTTCAGCTACTTCAGTGACAAACAAAGAGGTAAGATTATCACAAACACTGAGGTGATGGCTTAAAGTTCCGTTTCTTACACTTCTTTTTGCACTTTCAGATTAAATACAGCTAAAAAAAAAAATAAAAATAAAATGGGGTGACCAATGGAATACAATGAAATTATTTTTATATTAGTTTAAGTTTTAGATCATTTGAGTTTTGTGACATGATGCTTTGTTTTGGTAAAAGTTACCACTGAGAAAGGGGCACATTTTGGTCATGAAAGGGTGAATATCAACAGCATGAAAATTCATGTTGTCTGTGATGTTTACATTCGCCTCAATTGCTCCTACGAGGCTTAAAGTGTGAATTTACGCCCCCATCATCACCCTGAACTGTTGATGTGTGTCTTACTGAATCCATGCTTTAATATTGTTTGCAGAAAAGTCCGACTCTACCATAATTTCACAGCTGAAATCGAGACCCAGCACACCCAGTTACATTTTTCCATCTGTTATTGGGAAATACGCCTGAGTGAGCTGTACGCTCAGTTTCTTCAGGTAGTCCATCTGTGTCGAGGTTTGAAATGGTGCATGTTAAGATATTCTCGATAATGTTGTGGGTGTCTGAGCTTCGGTTGCCTTTCTCTAATCATGGCAGAGAGATTTTGTCAGCAAGTGCTGCCTCGTGGTTATTTTTTCAGACCTTTTCTGTGCCAGCTCCTGGGTTCTGGATCTCACTGCCAGTGCTCATTAGACAAAACTCTTCACTGTGTAGATTTAAAACTTTGCTGAAAACCCTCATTTTGACTTTTTGCCCAGTATGGCTGAGCTCATTTTATAAGTTGGAGTTACTTTGTAACAACATCTTTGTCTTGAAATTAGGGCCAGGATTTTAACGCATTAATTTCTGTGGTAACACTTTATTTGAAGGGGGGTGAATAAGACTGTCATAACACTTTCATAAACATGACATATGAAAGTGTCATAAATCATTACTGTTTAATCTTTTCCTTTAATAACATAAAGTTACCTGATTTTTAAAGTGCAGTCAGTAATACTTTTATAACAAATTTATATCAATAATGATTTATTGGTTAATGTCAAGTTGTCATAACAAAGACATTTTGAATAATGTCAACTTTGTATTAAAAGTGTCATAATTAACCGGATGATGCTTTATGACAACAGTCATAAATATTCATGAAGGCTTATTCATGTTCATGACATGTGATATGTCAGTCTTATTCACCCCCCTTCAAATAAAGTGTTACCATTTCTGTTAATATGAGTGCACAGATTTAAAGCGTTACTTTTTAAAGAAAAACATAATTAATTGCATTTTGTTTACATACAAAGGGTTTTGGCCTGAACCTTTGTATCCCCGTGTTTATGTCCGTACGTCAGACGCACAAGCGACATTCGCAAACAAGACAAATCTGCTTCTATTGTCTTCAAAAAACAAACAAACAAAAAAAAAAGACTATTGTTTTTCCAAAGAAGAAACTTCCCTTTTCACCCATTCAGCTGTTCATGGTTTGCTTCAGCAAGTCACCTGCGTTGTGTGTAACTTGTGTGTCAGGTGAACAGGTGTACCTAATAAAGTGACCAATGACGGTGTCATAAAAATACAGAGACAAATTAAATTGAATTTCTCTTGTCCGGAGGATATTGATCAAAAAGCTTTTCGTCACAACAGCACTAAGCAATTCGTGGCCAAGAGCTCTGCTTCCCGCTTTCCATCTCCAGCTTTACAGCAATTCAGCTGACTAAATCAACTCCCAGCCCCACAATATTCATCGTAGTTATTAATAAATTAAAAAATGTCACTGACAACAAAAATGAACACCGAACTTATGCCATTTCCATTTCTACTCAATGCAAAATGCAACCCGTTTAAACATTTTGGAGCTTCTTATCTCTTCATGCTGCATGCTGACCTTCACAATCAATGCTTGCAACTGTGAAAGCTTTGTGAATACGCACAACTAAGTAGAAAGTGGCTTACATCTGGGACTCAAAAAACAAAAGAAGAGAAAAGACACAGTCATCTGCAAAGAATGTATCATTTTCCTCCATCAAAACAGATTTCATGAAGGATCTTTTTAAAAGAATATTATAAGTTGGGTAACAGCTTTTAATAATTTTCTCCCTAAAAGTATGTTTTGGTATTAATGCAATTCATTTTTCGGCATCTTTCATCCAAAGGAGTGAATCTGGAGTGATCATGCTTTGGAAGTTGGTTCAGCAATTTTACTGCTGAAAAGGACAAATCTGAGAGAACCGAAGAATGAGGTTGTTTGATTCTTTCTAAAAGAGAACTGGTAAATGTTACAACAAAGAACTATCAATCATCAGGAAAATAAAAATGTATTTCTAAAGAATTATTAATGTAGTTAGCCACGTAGCTTATCTCAGTTCTTCAAATAATATTGTCACTTTCACTAAAGTGAGGTTCTGCAAAGTAGATATCGGTAGATTTTGTCCTACATGAAAGGAAACCAGAAGTTACAGTCATAATAAAAAGGCATTTTACATTCTAGGATTTGAATAAAATTAAGTTTATATGTCTTCATATGGATGGATGGTTGGAAATGCAAAACGTAAAAATAAGAATTAATCTGGACGTCATAATCCAAACAATACAAGATGACATCTTTCAATAATAAACACGTACAGGAAATAATTTTTAAAATGACTTCATGGGAACAAAATTTTATGCATGAATAAATAATTTTATAAAAAATAAATATAAAAAAGGGGAGTAGAAAAAACATTGTAAAATAAACACGTTATAAGTAAATAAAAAGTAAGGAAATCAACCGAGAACAATTACAGTTATGCTTAAAAAACTAAATATTAACTTATAATTATTGTTTTTGCTTCATTTGTTGATGTAATTATGTTTCATAGAGCCATGAAATGAGATATTTTTTGTCAGATGACCACATTTTGAATCGTCAGATTTTCTTGTTTCTTTTTTATGTCTAAAAAATGTTAAATGTGTTTTTCCTCCATATAAAAAACCAAAATTGTTTGCACTCATACCTCAGAATCTATTCGGTTTCTTTTGACCATAGTGTACTTCCACAGTAAAAATGGTGGTAATACTGAAATCATCTAAATTCAAAACACTTAAATTCAAAGCCTTAAGTATGAATGGTGCTATAAAAATACACCTGCCTTGATTCAGTTGGTTGAAGAATTTTTTCTGAATATATTTATACCATATATTCTGCTTATGACATGTCTTCAACGTAATCAGATGAATAAATCTTTCGCTAAAACAGTTGACCTGACTCAAAACTTAAAAACAAAAAAAAAACTTTTCACTCTCTCTTTAAGGCATTTTGAGAGCAGGGGGAGTGATGAATATCCAATCCACACCTCGGGGCTTTTTCTCTGCTGCGGCTGCATATGTGTGACCCAGCAAGTAGGTGCTCATTCCTGCTCCCCCACTGAGAGATGTGTTGAAATCCAGCTATTGACAGCCCTGCTGAGAGACACGGTGATGGAGCTTTTTGGCTGTTAGGTGTAACCACTCACAGATCACATGCAGGTACTCCAAGGACATGGATATGATAGTTTTGTGCGCACCTCCAATGCATGCTTTCATGGATAAAAGAGCCAGTTTGTGAAAGAGCCCAATCCTTTCACTTGTTTTTTTTTTTTTTTTTTAGTAGATGTTAAAATAGCAGAGCTGCATATATACATCCTTTACGACAGTACTCTGAGAAACTGTTATTCCCTTAAAAGCATTTCCTTTACTTGAACCCGTCATTTGTCAGCAGCTCTTCAGCAATTTTTTTGTCAGGTTTTATTCAGCCGTGCACAGGTCAAGCATTCAGGAAGACTCTTTCACCTTTGCTTATTCTATAGTTGTGAAAAGCCTCTTCAGCATCCAGTAGAATTCACCGCATGCTATTTGTTAATGCTGAACCCCACCCACTCCACGCCGCCACCCCTCATGGTGGCATTAGCACCTTTTCAGGGTCAAACCTCAAATTAGAGACACAGGGAAATGTGACGCTTTGCAGATGAAGGGTGCACTTTCAACCCCCGCTTCAACTAACGGCAGCAGGAGAGAGGGATGATGTCGAAGCTGCCGGTGAACATCCTGCAAAAAAAAAAAATTCGAGAAAACCTGTGAATCTGCTCGTGAAATTAGCATCACAGCCGATATGCTCAGGTGACCGTTGAACATTTTCCAGCCTTTACTCAGTCTTACTTCTTTAAAGTAACAGGTTTGACACGAGTTCCTTTTTTTTGCAAACTGCATTAAACACAAGCAGAGCAACTCCTGCAACAGTGAAGATCGTATCCTTTTATATCTGCAACTTTCCTGTGCAAGCTTCGGTTTTGCAGTCTGCTTCTGATTGTAAGATAAAATGTAAGAAAAGTGCAGTCAATGCAGGACATAGGAAAACTCAGTTGTTAAATGTCCTGATCAACAATGTGAGACGGGTCAGGGATATGCTTTGACTTTAGATGAAACTTTACCCCATCTGTCACTGTCAAAACCATGGAAAGGAGGATTAAATTAAAGTGTGTTTCAATAACATGGAGTCATTTATCAAAATAAGAAATTTATTAAGCATGAGATGTTGCGGCAATCTGAATGAATTTTTGTTCGTTATCTCAAATGTTTTGCCTTTGAAACTTATTTTGCAGTTTCAATAAGTCAACTAATTAAATTCATTCATTTATCTAAAACACAAACATTTATTTCTGCTAATAAAATAAAATACGTACATACATCAATTCAGTCATATGTAATTAGTATTATCAACAGAGCCAGTTTTTGTATGATGCAACCCTGAGCAAGTATGTCTTGTTGGAGAAAAATATATATTCCCTGGTCTGCCTTACTCCCACATTTTGATACGAGTTGTCCTGTGACGATTAGAAATCCCAGTTTTACTCCCTGTTAATTACATCTGAGACATGATTCAAGAGGCTGATCATGGGCGGGGGTCGAGTGGATTTTCTCTCCTGCAGAGAATGAAAACTGCTCTGAAAATATGATGTGTTGATATAATTTCCCTAAAG